GATACGAAGTAAGTGTAAATTACAAAGTTGTTAGGAATTGAAAAACCTATAAAATGATGTGCCACTTGACATATGTTGCTATTTGAAAATTTTGAACAATGAGCATTTGTAAATTTTCAAAAATAAATTTTTTTGGAATTTTTATTATTTCAAAAAACCGCATATCACAGTAAAGCTAATTTCATAACGAGTAAGAAAATGCAACCGGAGAAGTGCTAAATGCATTGGTATAGGAAATACAGAGTATTAAAAAAATATAGATTTCTTTCAAAAAAACTGCCGCCATTTTGAAACGGAAAAAGATAACTAATTTTGGTTTTCGCCAAAATGTTTGTCTATCAAATACCTTTAAAATGATGTATAACATGACATATGTTTACATTTGAAAATTCCGAGATTCGAACTAGTGACCCTCAGTTTTTGGCACACCCTGTATTTGAAAAAAGTTAAAAATATTTTTACGTTATTCCTTGGGGTCGATTTAGTTGGAAATAGTTTTATTTCATCCTTGTACGTTAAGCCGTTTTCCAGTAATCGATTTGAGACACCTCTCGAGGGACACCCTGTATATATATATACAGGGTGGGGCAATGAAAGCGCCCCAATTTATAAGCAGTACAAACTCAATAATATTCATCCTATGGATATAAATAGCACATCAAAACACAGCTTATCTTTTGCCATTTTAACTTAACAAAGTCATTTTTCCATTTCTTGATAAGGAAATCCTGCAAGTGACGTCCTTGTCCTACTTGACATTAGGCACTTGAAAACTCCATCAAATACTCCTCCAGCATTTCTTCAGGAATAACTTTAGTTTTTGGACAATTCTTAGCTTCGGTTTTAGCAAATCTGTGGGGTGACTTTGAAAAACCTCGAACTTCAAGTAGCTTATTAGAAACCCCCCTTCCAAAAAAAGGAGCCAACGTAAAGCTTTCAACAACAACAGCTTCCTGGCAAATCTCTTTGGACTTTTGAGTTACTGCGACTCGCACTCTTTCAACATTCGCTGGTGTATAAGTTTGGCAGCACCCACCGATTATTTTTAACACGTTAGCTGCCACGCTGACCCGATCGGGTCGGCGTAGCTCATCTTGGTAGAAACATCAGCCGACCCAATCGGGTCGGCAGCAGGATTTTACATGACTTAAGTAAATTGATCCGTGACTTTCATCAGTGGTTGTGGGGAACTTTTTAAATAGTTCTAATCTGAGAAAACAATACTAATAATGTTATAGGACGTTAATTTTTGTCACAAAATTTTTTTATTTTACTTATACATCGACTACCAATAGGCCATATTTTGCCGACCGATCGGGTCGGCACATTTTTTTTTAAACCTTAACATTATTGTTAGTGCTGAAATATTATTAAAACTTGAATCTAATGGTAATAAACTTGTTAGGAATGTAATAAAGATTAAACCGTATATTGACAAGATAGTTTTTAATTTCACAACACGTTATATGGTTATGCTAAAACTACATATTTGAAATGAAAGAAATTACGTAATTTTTGTTGAAATGACAGCTAACATTTACATTTCAAATAACATTTCAAGTCACGTACATGGGAGAAAACAAAGCACTAAATGTGAAAAATACAATCGTACAGAATAACTACCAGAGTTCACAAGGACCTTGCCTATTTATGTAAGTTCTTGAAACAATCTTTACAAAGAAATGGTTTCCCAGGACACGATTCACAAAATGTAGTGATCTTCTTGAGGTTCTTTGTTATTTTTCGGTTTCCAGTTCGTGAAGCTCTTGCATAGCATACTTTACAATTCTTCCGGGCTCTCCTTTTGTTCTTACCCTCGCCTACAAATATCACTGTTTCAGACAAGTGGTTATGTCCAACATGTTTCACTGGCTCGATTTGTCCATCTTGCAACCCTAGTAGTGCGTACACAATCTTTTCCCTGAAGGTCGTAATGGAGTAGAGATGCTTATTCTTACTCTGAGAGTTGACGCCGGCTGCATCCTTGTAGGTGAGCCACGCATTGACGACCGCTGTACCCAGTAGGAACTCTTCTGCGACCTTATGGTACCATCGCATAGATTTTCTAATGGCTGTGCTGTACGACGACATCTGATCACTGACATCAATCCCCATCTTCGCCTTGTTGTACTCGACGATGACAAGAGGTTTGAGAATGGGTTTGCCCTGCCTGGTTTTTTTCCCTGTATCAACATAGTCAGGAGGATGTTTGGTTGACATCATTCTCACTTCCCTCTTATCAAACCATTTGATTTGTGTAAACGATACCACTTGGGTACTCAAGACATCTCATTTCACCCTTCTTCAAGGGGTCATCGGAATTAGTGCCAATGGTTTTTTTATGAGGGAACCAGGCCCTGTTGCTGATAACACTTCCAACAAGGTGAGTATTCCTTGCTAGAAGCATGTGGGCAAGATCAACGGAGGTGTAAAAATTATCAACATACAGTGTATGCCCTCGGTCCAAATAATCTCTCATGAGGTCCATTACAACTGATGCTGCTAATGTCAGGTTATCTTCAGTTCCTGTCCCAGCACCCATGTAAACTTTCATCTTGTACGTGTAGCCAGCAGTGTCGCATATTTTAAATACCTTAATGCCGTACTTGTGGGTTTTATTTGGAAGGTATTGGCGAAATAGAAGTCTTCCTCTGAAAGGGATCATACTCTCATCGATAACCACATCTTCGCCAGGAGTTTTGTTAGTCTTGAAGGATTTGTTCAGGATTTTGATCAGAGGAGATATTTTACCTAGTCGTCCATCTCGCTCCATGTTCAGATTGTCGTTAAAATGTCAGAATCTCAAAAGCAATTGGAAACGAATTCTGCTCATTACCTTACCAGCATCAACATTCTTATACAATAAGTTTTTCGACCAATAGTCTGTCAGCCGTGGCATTGGCACCCATCCATAGTAAAAGGCCGAGAAATTTTTTCATCTCATTTGGATAGGTAGGCCGCCATTTACGGAGTCTGCTACTACGATTCAATCGCAGTGTACTTATAACTTGATCAGCATTACGATTAGTTTCATCTACCATCATTTCTATTAAATCATCTGTTAAAAAAGCATAAAAATATTCTTCTGGTTTTGCATTTTGGGGCAGGCCGAAAGCAAACCTCGATGCTCCTTCAAAAACAATGTTTTTATGTTTGCCTTCAAACGGCTGCCATTTATCAAGTTAATCTTTTTTCATCTTTAACTTTTCGTCCTTTGTTTTCAAACATTTAAATTTTTCTCCTAAGTTAATAGTGTAATCTTCCATTTCTATATTTACATCATCACTTTCACTCACTACAGTCATATTTTCACTAAGAGAATCAATCATTTCATCCGTACCATTCATACTTTCTATGAAACCAACCTTATTGTCATCGATGCCACTGCCTGCCTCTGAGTCATCAGTAGGGTTGAAATCCGGGTCATCGTCTGTGTCGTCCATTTCACTGTTTACATTACTGCCCCAACCATCATCACTTACACCATCCATATTTTGGTCAAATTCACTAGAAGGAGCTTCGATTGCTCTTACTATATCATCACTGCCTAGATTATCACCCATATTGAACTAACATAATACAACGAACCAAACTTAGACAGAAAACACAACACGAACAACAGCTCGAGGTAGGCCTAGACTCAGCAGACTGACATAAAGGCGCGAAACTGATGGCGGGAACATTGCAGATCAGCGAAAAAATGGACCAAGAGCCTTTGCGCGGGAACAGCTGAAGCGCTGCCAACCTCTAAACGAAATATACGCCGGTATAAACGTGGGACCGATCCATTTTTTGCCATTTTTTGCAATAAATATTCGTTGAAAAAAAATCGCTGCCGACCCGATCGGTCACATTTTTTTTAACATTTATTTTAACAGTTCTAAAGTATATCTTGTTGTATTAGTGTAATATAAACACAATTCAAGTAGAAATATCGAAAAATAAATAACAGTAAAAGTTGGCATTACGCCGTAAATTTGGAAATAGGCCTCGGCAGCTAACGTGTTAAGGTTTAAGCGTTTATCCTAAATAATTTTACCCAGTTCACCATTTTTTTCCAATCTGGAACAGTGCCATGTTGACCAAGGATGGAATGTGGTCCAAACAATCTCTGGGTTTTTGCACAAGAACCACTATTTTAAAAACAGGTTTGCACATCAAAATCTCAGTGTTAATAGCCTCGGGCATAATATTTACTAAAATGGCATAGTTTAATTGATGTTTTAAGCACAGCTGATCATTCGTTGTTGCAACAATTAACATGTGACAGCTAAAACAAATTGTGGCGTTCTCATTGCCCCACCCTGTATAAATCTATACATATATATATATATATATGTATAAAAATTTGGAACGAATGGCGTTTTTGGCCTCTGGGGACATCAAAATGAAAAAGTAAATCGGTCCCGGGCCTAAGTCTTACAATGAGACCTACGGTAATAGCTACTTCCCTATAGGGAAATTTGCTAAAAAGTACTTAGAAAGATAATAATTACAAATTAAAAGTATGAAAAATATTTTCGTGTCCCTGTTGTTATGAGTAATTGTAACTAAATGAAACATGTGAAATAGCCATTTATTTCTAAAATTATAGCAAAAAAGAAAATATGAACATTAGTATGGTTAACTTAATTTTTAGGACGGATAGAAAAAACAAAAAAGTGCACTTTTATGCCGTATAGGGGTGTGCAAAGTTTGGTATTCCTGGTGTAACCCGTTAAAAAGTTAACAGGTGGTGTCCATACTTTTTCCCAACCATACTTTTTACTCATAAGGTGAATAAATAAAAATTCATGGTTTTCTTACATGAATGTTATTCCTATTGAGAATAAGTAAACATAGGTAGTTTGCTTGTTTGTGTATCATGTGCTTCATTCACATAGGTCAAAGATCTAACTAACTTGCATAGTTTCACTGCAAAATTAATCACCGTACATAAACGGTTGATATAAATTAATGTGATATCTTATAGCGAGCGGTACTGGCTAAATGTCACTTACATGGATCCATCCGAGAGTGAGCAGCTCCCTTTGATCAGAATATTCACATATCTCCTCCTCGTTTTCCATATTGCAGTAGTCTGCACCACCGTGTTGTTTCGGAACTATCAGGTGGGAAATGACTAGGTGGTCGTGGTCCTACAACCATATCACATGTTGTATCACCACTCATCAGACAACGTAAACTACAACAAGATCACATGTTATATCACCACTCATCAGACTATGCAAACTATTGGGAACTATCAGGTGGGAAATGACTAGGTGGTCGTGGTCCTACAACCATATCACATGTTGTATCACCACTCATCAGACAACGTAAACTACAACAAGATCACATGTTGTATCACCACTCATCAGACTTTGCAAACTATTGGGAACTATCAGGTGGGAAATTACTAGGTGGTCGTGGTCCTACAACATCACATGTGTCACCACTCACCAGACAACACAAACTATTGGGAACTATCAGGTGGGAAATGACTAGGTGGTCGTGGTCCTACAACATCACATGTTGTGTCACCACTCATCAGACAACACAAACTATTGGGAACTATCAGGTGGGAAATGACTAGGTGGTCGTGGTCCTACAACATCACATGTTGTGTCACCACTCATCAGACAACACAAACTATTGGGAACTATCAGGTGGGAAATGACTAGGTGGTCGTGGTCCTACAACATCACATGTGTCACCACTCATCAGACAACACAAACTATTGGGAACTATCAGGTGGGAAATGACTAGGTGGTCGTGGTCCTACAACATCACATGTTGTGTCACCACTCATCAGACAACACAAACTATTGGGAACTATCAGGTGGGAAATGACTAGGTGGTCGTGGTCCTACAACATCACATGTGTCACCACTCACCAGACAACACAAACTATTGGGAACTATCAGGTGGGAAATGACTAGGTGGTCGTGGTCCTACAACATCACATGTTGTGTCACCACTCATCAGACAACACAAACTATTGGGAACTATCAGGTGGGAAATGACTAGGTGGTCGTGGTCCTACAACATCACATGTGTCACCACTCATCAGACAACACAAACTATTGGGAACTATCAGGTGGGAAATGACTAGGTGGTCGTGGTCCTACAACATCACATGTTGTGTCACCACTCATCAGACAACACAAACTATTGGGAACTATCAGGTGGGAAATGACTAGGTGGTCGTGGTCCTACAACATCACATGTTGTGTCACCACTCACCAGACAACACAAACTATTGGGAACTATCAGGTGGGAAATGACTAGGTGGTCGTGGTCCTACAACATCACATGTTGTGTCACCACTCATCAGACAACACAAACTATTGGGAACTATCAGGTGGGAAATGACTAGGTGGTCGTGGTCCTACAACATCACATGTGTCACCACTCATCAGACAACGTAAACTACAACAAGATCACACGTGTCACCACTCACCAGACAACACAAACTATTGGGATTCAGTCTGTAGTCCAATAATTCCCAAACCAAACTACCCATATTCCGGTGTTTTTTATTCTCAATAGTCGGCAGTCATGCATTGAGACTTTTTCTCCTCTACCTCACTCATAGTCAGGAAATACAAATTCACAAATTAATTCAATATGATCATAAAGAGCTTAATATTTTACCAGGTTTTTACATGACAGTGGTAATGTTAAGTAGGTCAATTTGCTCTATATTTAGTCTAAAAAACACAGGCAAACCTATCTTTTGAGCAGTTTATGAACTCATTAATATTTTTTCTCAGAAACTTAGGTTATGCTTAAGTTTTGCTGAACCTCAGATCAGCTGTATGCTGTTGTTTCAAGGTAGGGTAAGGTGGAGGGGATGGAATTGCTTCCATCACAACCACCTACATTTTGTGAACGGAGTATACCTAACACAAGTTGACTTCCCATCCCCTTGTAAAATATGAAGCTTTTTTTTTATGTGAGGTTTATAAATAAATAAATAAATAAATCTTTATTGTCACATAACGTTTACAAAATATAGCAATGCTATAAAACAGGTGACATTGTCAATACAGTATACAAATACCTTAAAACTAAGGAGTTATAAATGTTTAAAAAATAAAATGAAAGCTCAATAGAGCAATGGGGGAATTGCGGCACCATCTTCAAATTGAATACTTCGAATTTTTCGTCTAGTTCCCCGTAGCCTAAGCGAAACCGCTCGAATGATGGAAAGCTGGCTTTGGATCCTCAACCATCCGATGATTTGGGAGTATGGTTTTCTCCATTTTACAGCCAGGGCTTCGCTTGTTCTCCTCTGAAACGCTTCATATTCTTTGTGGGGGACTCCTTCCGTGGAACATATTAATGGTGTGAAGCTTCCTCTGATGTCTTCGGCTGCTTTGTCATATTTATTGTGTTTCTGAACAGCATGGTTTCGAGATATTGTTCCCCATTCTTGGTTGGCGTAAGAGGGAGCGTTAGCATTAACAATGCGATTATCAAAAAACGCTACTCTCTCAGCCTCCCAAATACCATTAACTTTAAAATCAGCTTTTAAAGCAGGCACATTGTTTGCAGGGTCAGCTTCTCTCATAATAGGCTCGACTTCAACCCCTTTCCAGGCCATATTTGCTATCGCAGCACAGTGGTCTCGATGTTGATCATGCCCATGTTTGATCAATCCTCCTTTTTTACAATTTAAAGCATGTGTAAGATTCATAGGTTGATCACAACCATCACATCGTACTGGTAAATTTCTTAGTGTGCGGCCATAGCGAATTGACAAAGCATCTCTGAATTGATCCGGGGACAAATCCGTATGATCAGATGCACATGGTGTCACAGTTAACCATTGGCTAGTATTCCCTGCTACAATTCTAATTATTGGCTTCTTTTGAGTTTCAGGAAGTAATTCCATAATTCGTTCATTATTTGCTTTAGCCAACGTGTCTTTTTCTAGTTTTCTCTTCTTTTTTACATCTTGTAGTGTTGATACATGATCATTAATCTTTAATGGTTGTCCATTTTTAATGGCTAATATTAATTTTTCTGTGCATTGTTTTGATGTTTTAAATGAAATACCATCGTTCTTTGTCGGGTCCTGAATATTTAAGCCTCCAAAACGAGTAGGGAGAGAGAACAAGTCATGTTCAAGTTCAGAAATCTCTTGATCGAAAAGGTTGGGAGTGAAATGGCGATGTATGGCAGTTTTTAAGTCTCCGTATTCTTCACTAAATCCCTCTGTTACTCTTTGGAGAAATGCCCATTCATTTTGTAATGACTTAGTAAAGGCAGTATACGCTGCTTGAGGACTTTTATGTGCAGCTATGCCAAATTTCTTTATACAATCAACCCATTTTTTTACTTTTTCTTTCACGAATTCCTTCTTTTCTTCTGAGCTACCAATAATACCCCCTAAAAACCTGTACGATGTTACAATTTTCACTTGTAGGTCTCTGAAAATTTCTTCTGCTTTTTCTTTATATTCAGGTTTTACTATCAATACACTTTTCTTGGGTTCTGGGTAATACCCCCATTTTGGCCCTTCAGCACATAAAGCATTAAACCATTCTCTAACTTGAAGTATTTCACCGAAACATGCAGAATCATCAGCGTACCAGTTTTGCTTCCAATTTAGGCTTTTTAGTTTTTTTACCAAAGGTAATATGCCAATTGCATACATTAGCATGCCTAAAGGGTCTCCTTGAGTGGTTCCTTCTTGACTAAGGATGATTTTATTGCTTCCTCTAAACATAATGGTACATTGTGAGGTCCTAAATTTCACTTCTCTGGAAATGCTTTTAGAAGTTTTACTATTAGTAATCATCTCATCACATATTTTATCTTTTCGATTTATTTGGCTGACTATACTTTCATTTGGAATTAAAAGTTCAAAATGTCCACAATCCAAACGGCCGGTTAAAAGTAGGTCCGCTGTAATTTTATGAGAGGATCTTGATATTAATGTTGGTTTATTTTCCAAATGGATGATTCTAGTTTTAAAATGTTTAGCTTGATAAAAGATGTATTTGATTGAAAATCATAGTCATATGTTAAATTGTTTGAAATGTATAAATAAAGTTTTGTTGTTTTTTAAAAAGGAGTTATAAAAGAATAAAATAAACTAACGCTATGAAAATAGAAATAATTGTTGTAGACAAAATAGATAAACTTAAACATTGCATTTAAAATACCAAATAATTACACATCTTGATCACATAAAAACTCATCTATACTATAATATGTTTTCCTTAAAAGAAAATTAGTAAGGCTGCTCTTGAAATGCTTAGACTGTATTCTGTTTTTGAGCTCTTGAGACAATTTATTAAAAAACTTTTTGCCCATGTATGTCGGAGTTTTTTCTACTAATGAAAGACGGTGCCGCGGATATTGAAAATTATATTTAAACCTAGTATCGTACTTATGCTTGACATTTTCACTAGATAATTTTTCAAAATTTCCCTCCACCATCAAAAGTGTTTTAAAAATGGTTAAACTCGGAACAGTCATTATCCCTAATTCTTTAAAAATAGGTTTACATGATGTTCTCCAAGGAGCAAATATCATTATTCTTAAAAACCTTTTCTGTATCTTAAAAATTAAATCAATGTTTGATGCAAAGCCCCAGAATTCAATTCCATACTGAAGAATTGAATAGAAGTATGCATAATATAACATCAAACGAGTTTTTAAGTCAATTGTGTTTCTTAAACATATCATTTGATAACATGCCGAATTCAGTCTACTAATCAAATTTTCAATGCTTTTGTTCCAATTTAAATTTGAGTCTACGTACAATCCGAGAAATTTTGCATCATCTTGAACACATAAATTTTGGTCACTAAACTCTCTTGCCTGAGCAGTACAAAACTTTACCAATTGGGTTTTATCTTGATTCATTTTTAAACCGTTAATATTGAACCACCGTTCCAATTCCCATAGGGCTTGTTTAACTTTGAGAGATAGTTCTGAATCATTTTTAGATTTGACAACTGCAGTTGTATCGTCGGCATATAAAACAAGGTTGTTGGAAACATTTTTAGGCAAGTCATTTATATATAAAATAAAGAGTAAAGGTCCGAGAATTGACCCTTGGGGAACACCAACTGTAATTTTTTCCCATTCTGATATTGATTTTTCATTATTTTTAAAAATTACTGTTCTTTGAAATCGATTTGTCAAGTATGAAGTCAACCATAAAACAGATTCTTTTGAAAAGTTATAAATTTTTAGCTTTTTTAAAAGTATATCATGGTTGACACAGTCAAATGCCTTGGATAGGTCACAAAACACTCCCATTGTGCTCTGTGACCCATCCAAAGCCCATGAAACCTCACTAATAAAATCTGATAAAGCTTTCATTGTGTTTAAGCGCTTTCTAAAACCAAATTGTTCATTAGCCAAAATATTGTTATTCTCGAGAAAGTTTGAGATTTGTTTGGATGCTAATTTTTCAAACACTTTTGAAAATGATGGTAAAAGGGAAACTGGTCGATAATTGTCCGGATTTTGTCTCTCGCCCTTCTTGAAGAGAGGTTTGAGCTCTGCATATTTTAAATGGTCTGGAAAAGTTTTTTTTTGAAAAGACTGATTAATAATTATAGATAAAGGTTCAGCTATGAAATTAGAGACAGTTTTCATCAGATCGATAGGAATACCGTCCCAGCCCGCAGATTTTTTACTTTTGAGAGATTTTATATTATTAATAACTTCTTCTGTACTTACTAAACTAAATTCAAATTGGTTAGGTTGATTTCCTGCCAATGAATGCCTTGTCATTTTTAGTGCATCCTCTTCATGCGGTATTATGCCAATTTCTTTTGTGATATTTTTAAATTTTTTATTAAAGAATTCAGAAATTTCCTTGCCATTTTTTAGATGATTGTCATTAACCTTAATATCAGGAAAGTTTAAGTCACTTTTTTTACAACCAAGTTCAGATTTAATGATAAGCCAAGCAGCCTTACTCTTGTTACATGATTCTTTTATAAATTTAGCATTATACAATTTTTTAGCTTCATTGCATACCTTGTTGAAAGTTAACTTATACCTTTTAACATAATTAATGAAATTATTATCATTTGATTTCTTTACTAGTCTGCTTAGTTCCCTTTTTCTAATACTAGATATTTTAATACCGGTTGTTATCCAAGACTTTTTTTTATTATGCGGTTTGGTATGATAAAACTTCATAGGAAATGCCTCTTCAAATAAATTTTGAAAAGTGCCAAAGAAATTTAAACAGTTATTTTCAAAAGAATTATTTACAGATACATTCCAGAAAGTTTCTTTCACATTATATATAAATTTTGCTGTATTTTCTTCTGAGAAAATTCTTTTTTTACATTTGTTACCATTTATTATATTTTTATCAGTTTTACTAAATATATTTAAAAATAATGCTCTGTGATCAGAGATCCCTAATTCTAAATTCATTGTTGTTGATACAGACAGATGATGATTAATTTTTGGTGATAAAATATTATCAATACAGGATTTTGTGGACTTGGTAATTCTTGTTGGAGAGGAAAAATTTATTTTAAAACCATATTGCTCCAAAATAGAAATGAACTCTAACTTTTTCTGTGGGTGGCTAGAAGTATCCAGTACATCAACATTAAAGTCAGCCGCAATATATACATTTTTATTACATGTAGCTTTAACCAGAAGTTTTAATAACCCTACCAACTTTCTAAGAAAATGTTTAAAGTTATCAACATTAGGTGTTCTGTAAATAGCAACAACAATAATATTTAGAGTAACAATTTCAATACAAGAAATTTCAAAAACATAATCTTCGTTTAAGGCACATAAATCATTTCTTACTTTATATACTAAATTTTCTCTTAATAGTATGCAAGAACCACCACGAATTCCTTCCTTCCTGCAATAAAAGTGTCCTAAAGTATAGTTAGGAATACTATTCAAGATTAAAATATTATCATTTTTTAGCCAGTGCTCGTTCAAGCAAACCACTGAAATGTTAGAATCAGATAGTATTATTTCTAAATCATTCTTTTTGTTTACTATGCCACCTTCAATATTCAAATGCATTAACCAATTAAATTTATTATCAGTTTTGGCTGCACTACAAACTGGCCATGAAAAATTAGTATTGTGTACTGAGTCATTTGAAAAGAAAGAAATATGATGGTTCTTACAGATAACACAGAAAGACGTCTTTTTTAAATCTAAGTTGGACTCACAATTTGGTTTGCCATCAAGTTTTTTTGTTGTACACTGGATGGAGAGGATAGCTGCTGTGACCTCATAGAGGTGTCTGGTGTAGTTGACTGTGGTTGACCAACAGGGCTGGATGATCTTGTTGAGAAAGGCTGTTGATGGAGGTGACTTGAAGTGTCAGCTTCCGGTGTTGGCTGCTGACTTGTAGAAGAACCACCTGACAATGACTGCTCTGTTTTAGGAGTAGTAGTCCACTTCTCAACTGATTTTTCCAGTGCTCTAAAGAAGTCCCTATGCGAGAGTCCATTCCTCAGGATTCTGGTAGACCTTTGAAAATATGAAACAACGATGATAGTGGCCTGAGTCGCACGTTGAAATTCGACAAGGTTTTGTATGAAATGGTCTGGTTGGATTAGGTCTCTTACGCAACCCATCGGAGAACACACAAGAGTCTTAAGTCCACTTGATTTGAATTGTTCCGTCAGCTGTATAAATGCATTGTCATACTCCAGCCTCGATGGTTTTCCCCAATACACTTCCTTTGTCACCAGACTGAAGATTGTTGCTCCATTATCACATTGTTTAGTCAATCTGTCAGAAATGTAGTCATTTGACTGAGGTCTTCCAAATTTATTTCTGAAGGTAACAGCAACTCCAGCAGACATATGTTTGGGATCTGCAAAATCCCCAGAAATGGTGTGGGCAAAACCCACTGACCGGTCATCTCTCATTTTGTCTATCATGATTCTCATGTTTGTTTCAACAATATTAATTTTCTTGTTGTCAAAATTCAGAGTAGACTTCTCTTCTGCTGCTTCGTTGGCTCTAACTATTTTTTTAAACTTTTCAGCCAGCTTGATTTTACCCCTGTTATATTAATAACATTGAGCGCAACTGTCAACAAAATTAATTTTCTCTTATTTTAGGGTTAATTTTTTTTTAAATTTGTGCTCTATGTTTGGTTAAAATACCAGAGAATGAGCTATTGTTCGTAATCAGAGTTTTATTTGGTTAAACTAGTTTTGAAATAATAGAAACAAGTAACACATCTTAATCACAAACACACCCCTACAGGAAACAGATGGAACTGATATTAAAAATGTCTTCAGCTGATCCTTTAGGATAACTAATCTATAACAATGTGTAATTTATAGTTAAACGTACTTCTTAGAGATTTATAATCCTTATGGATCAGCTAAATTTTAATGTTGGTTCAGTACAGTTTAAGTGGAGGGTGTTTTGTTACTCTTTGTAGATATCTTTTTATTTGAAAATTTGTTTAAAACTTTGTTTATAAATAGGATGAGAAGTCTACTTGTAATATTCTAAGTGAAAGGTTTCGTGGAAGAATACTACGCTTTTTTGGTAAAGTTAATTCTTAATCAACTTGCATCTGTAATGTGCAAATGAGAAATAGCTTATAAGTACCAGACGGCCCGCCAGAATGCCACAGGTTTCAATGTTGTTCTCCGTTTTTTTCTGAGCGAGCATGATGAACTTTGCATGTAGAATGTGAGGAACAACGACTGTGCGGAGCCCAAGTTTGTTACTGAGTGTCGAACTGAGGAGGGAGTGAGGTTTAGTGGACCTGTCTACTCCTGGAACACTGCAATAACACAAACATTTTAAAGAGCTTAAAAAACAAGTAATTTAGTAAATTGACATATTTTTGTAGGGTTATTGGTTATGAAGAAAATTTAAAAAAAAGGCAATTTAAATCCCCATGTTATTCTTATGAAGAATAAGTAAACTGTTGTAGTTTACTTGTTTATGGATATATTTGTATGGAAATTGTCAAATTTTCTTTATTTTATACTGAGATATTAATATTGTACTAAAAAACACATGTCATTACACTCTCTGTGTAGCAGCAAACCTAGGTACCTGCTACACCTAATGTTATTTAAATAAACTTAAGAAAAAATAAAATCAGGCAATGGAAATTTACTTAGTCTGCAGGTTTGCTGCGGCGGGGGTATTATGATAAGGCTGATGTTATGTCTAGTTTATTTCCATGTTAAAATTCAAGACTAATTCCAGACTATCAAGACTAATTCTCAGATTTTTCAAGACAAGATTTTTTTTCAACAATTCGTCATGTGTCTATACCAAAATGTATCGATTCTCGGTTCTTGATACAAGTTATTAGAGTTTTATCAACTAAATAATTTGGTTGTACTACACCTAACCCTGTCTTTATGTAAAAAAAAATGCAGCAATGAAAAATTCTAACCGTCCAATTTGGGTTTAAACCCTTCTCGACACAGTAAATAACTGCCATATCAAAGGTAAATGAAGATCTAACGACGAAAATACAATTTTATTAGGTATGTCAGCCAGATATTTTCAATCAAGCCAAACTAGAGGTAATAGTGTGATCATCTGCGGTTGTGGAGACATCATGGTAGACTTCTGAGATTACTACGAAATCCAGAATATCTTCCCCAGTCACGGAAACATCATCACTATCTGTCGCGGACGCGGAAAAATCCTGAGCATCAACAGAATCGGTATCATCGTCTCCAATGGTCATAGAAACATTATTAACAACTCCCGCGAGCAAGGTAAATTCACGAATATCTCCCACGGTCATGTAGACATTATCATCAACTCCAACGATGACGGCAAAATTATGATTATCTACCACAGCCGTGTAGTCATCATCATCAATTCCCGGGGTCACGGAAACGTCATCGTTGTCTGGCGCAATCGTGGTAAAATCATGAAAATTCTCGACTTTGATATCAAAATAAAGACTAAATCCCGACTTATCAAGACCTATTTTGAAATTCAATAATAATTCCAGACTTTCCCGTTTTTCCCGACTATAGACACAGTGTATTAGTTAGAAACATGTCAATATTGGTATCATTAAAATTATATTTCAAAAAAGGTTATTTAAGAAAATATTTACCAAATCTAATTATAGTCTTTTATTTCTGTCCTCGTTTTAATAAAAGACCATGCAAATCTGAATAAAATCAAACGTTTTCATTCCTTTAAAAATTAATAAATTTAAGGTTAGCTGAGCACCAAAAGAAAGTAATCGTCATTCATAAATTTAATGTCAGATTTTATCAGAGACGTATTAAAGGCTTTGTCACTCAGTTGAATTTGTATTGCTATGAATGCATCACGGACGTGGACCAGGGTATAGTGGTGGGGGCGCCATCGGTCTGCCGGCTCAAAATCTCAACGCTCAGCCCACGATCCAGCTGTAATATATAGAGTTCTATGAGTGCAACACACTGTAACTCCGAAATGAGTAGCTTTAAAGAAAGATTTCCAGAATAACGTTTTTAAAATTGCATTTGCATTCTAAAACAATAATAAAATACAGGGTGTTCCATAAAAAATATGAAAGATATGTGCCATTTTGGAAAATGTGAATCATATTTTAAAAATTTGAAACCATCCCATAGAATATCTTAGAAAATAAAGGGGAGAGCCCCATAAGAAGTTAACTGTACTTTTCACAATAACAAAGTTAGCTATTGGTTCGCTTTAGGTCAGACACCCTGTCGGTAGTTCAAATGATTTTCTGGTTGAAACTTGTATACCTAAAAGATGGAAGTAAAGGTCTAAGACAAAGAGGTAAACTGGCTCCAGGACTAGGACTTACCTTGGTCTCAATGTATCTGGAGGATGAGGGTGAAGGTCCAAGTTGTAGTGAAGTTGATCTGGCAAAGGTGGTACAGGCTCCAGGACCAAAGATGGTTGGGGAGGCGGCAATATGTCTGCTCCACCTTTTCCAGACGATCGCTTTCTTCTGTCACTATCTGTCACTTGTTTCCGCCTCTCTTCTTCCCGCCTTGTCTGAAAAATTATAAAGATTTGTACTGTGTGAGTTAAGTTAGAAAAATATAATAAAGTAAGATTTAAACTGCTTAATTATGACATTTGCTGAACATCGACTCTCGTAACGCAGAACATCACCACACATTATTTGCATTCTTCAGACCAAAATTTGAAAGCCAATCGCCTGGCAATCGGGTTTGTTTGACGCTCTTCCGCACCGGGGATACGCCCGCCATTGATAGGCCGCAGCGAATGTGTTAAAGAAAACCATTTTGAGGGCTAGCCTATTATAGTAAACAATGTACAAAATTTATGTTTTGTGCATTATTCAGCTTAAAGAATGGTATGGTGTGGTGCGGCGAAAAATATAGTTCATCTCACAGGCAAAAAGTTTCTTCTGAAGATGACACAAAAAAGTGTCAAAATCTATTTTGTAATTTATTGTGACATAAAAGTTTTGTATGGCACAAACAAGTTGTGTTTTAGGCGCTTATTGAATACATGATTGTCTTAAAAGACCATTGTATGAGAAATTAATATAGTTTGGTGATGCTCAATGTTTAAGGGGGGGGGGGCGCTTACGTAATACTGCTCCAGGGCGCTCCAAACCTGGCCATGCCACTGGGTTTACTAAACTACATTTACAAGTACTAGTGTGTTGTTTTCAAAGGTATTTAGTCATATTTGTTAACATCTAAAGGTCCCTGGTCCCACAACACAAGGTGCCTGGTCCCAAGATGTCTTAATGAAATTAATTGAGTCCACCGTAAAATTAACTTTACTTAACAATTTCAGTTTAATCATTAGCAGGTCTCCTAATTAAGAGTAGTTTTTGGTAAATTTCCTCTATAAGCTATTACTGTCTCTTACAATAAGACCTAGACCTAGGACCAATTTACTTTTTTGTTTTGATGTCCCCAGAGGCCTAAAAACCACCATCTGTTCAAATTCATTTCTATACATTTTCAATACCATATAACAGTTGATAAGCCTCAAACTTAAGTCTCAATCATTTTTTGACTTGGAGTGAAAACATAGAACATAGGCCTAGAGATTAAATTGACTGTATACGTTATCACACCTAGTGAATGAATTTAAAGTAACTTCTATAATGCCTTACTTACTCTAGTGGTCTTTACACCAGCAGAATAAGGCTGATGGCCAAATGCTGTATTGACTCTATAATACATCAATTGTGGATTTCCAGCCATTTTGTATTAATATGTTACAAATTAATCAATATTTAAGTAATTAAATTTAAACTGATATGACAAACATAAGGTCACCAGTATAACTAAAACTTGCACCACCCACCACCTATTGTGTCAAATTACTAATTGCTTAACAGCTCTCAGAGATAACAGGCAGGTGGGAGATTGTTGGTTATCTTATCAGCAAATGTTTCACTCATGCAACCTAGACCTCTTCTCAAACCAAAATACAGGGATCAGAGAATGCTGATTAGTGTATGGCTCTTTTGAAGTGATGAATTAAAAGATAGACATGAATATATATATATATATATACAGGGTGAGTTTTAATTGTCCCCCCCCCCAACTTTTTTCTACATTTTTTCAAATATCAATCCCAGACCACTTCCAAACATTGTTGGGTAGCAAGTACTTCATTTTGACTAGGTGGTCATTTCCGGCCGCTATCTTGGATCCGCCATCTTGGATGCAAAATATTTTTTTCAAATGTAAAGGTGGGGTTGTGACCCATTATTTCAAACTAGATTTTTACCCTGATTACAATGCCGCAAACAGTTTTTAAAAATCTTGATTCATACCAAAGTTATGAGGACTTTTTAAAACTTTATTTTTAGCCCATTTTAACATTGTGCATTTACAAACTAAGACCATAATCTCAAAATAGTGCTAGATAAAGATAAGTATACACTACCAGTCATTGCCAACCTATTTCCACTTGGTTATGAATGATGTATTTTTTTCGGCCGCCATCTTGGATCCGCCATTTTGAAATGGGATAAATTATTTGAAATATGAAGTGTGTGTTGTGACCCATCATTTCGAACTACTTTTTTAAGCTGACTTCAATTCCATGATCCATTTTTCATTTTTATATTTTGATTTTGAAATATTAATATTTTTAACAAAAATATTGCAATGTTTCATAAATAAAACTTAATAACGAAAAATGGATAGCGGCATTGAGTTTAGCTTAAAAAAGTAGTTCGAAATGATGGGTCACAACACACACTTCATATTTCAAATAATTTATCCCATTTCAAAATGGCGGATCCAAGATGGCGGCCGAAAAAAATACATCATTCATAACCAAGTGGAAATAGGTTGGCAATGACTGGTAGTGTATACTTATCTTTATCTAGCACTATTTTGAGATTATGGTCTTAGTTTGTAAATGCACAATGTTAAAATGGGCTAAAAATAACGTTTTAAAAAGTCCTCATAACTTTGGTATGAATCAAGATTTTTAAAAACTGTTTGCGGCATTGTAATCAGGGTAAAAATCTAGTTTGAAATAATGGGTCACAACCCCACCTTTACATTTGAAAAAAATATTTTGCATCCAAGATGGCGGATCCAAGATGGCGGCCGGAAATGACCACCTAGTCAAAATGAAGTATTTACTACCCAACAATGTTTGGAAGTGGTCTGGGATTGATATTTGAAAAAATGTAGAAAAAAGTTTGGGGGGGGGACATTTAAAACTCACCCTGTATATATTTTTTTTTATTTTGCTACCAACGGTCCAAACAAACCAATTTACAATTTTCATACTAAACAACTCATTTTCCAGATGAATATACTAAGGGTCAAGCCAAACATGCAATGGGACTGCCTAAAATCAATAGCAATAACTTAACATCAAACTAAGAACCTGAACAAAAATTTAGACCAACAATAGATACATCTTTATAAATAGTTAACAATGAATGTAATTGTATAGTCTAGGCTATAGTAAATAAATAGCAATAATAATAAATAGCAATAATAATAAATAACAATAATAATAAATGACAATAGTAATAAATAACTAAAATAGAAAATTTAACTTGTAGCTTGGAAACCACAAATCAATGTGCCTTCCAGTACAACCATTTTTTTTTTTTTTAAGATTCACCAATCATGCAGAAGAGGTCTATGTCATCAGGTATACTATTGGCCAAGAGTTGGATGCGAGGAAAAGTGCTGTGGAACATGTATTGAGTCGAGTACTGACGTCTAGTGAACAGATGGGTTTGGCGCAGGTGACGAGATGTGCGAAAGTCCAAATTGCAGAGAAGATCAGGGGCATCAATGTCTGAGTTAATCAGCTTCCTCAGGTACAGTAGGTCATTGATTTCACGTCGTGTATGTAGTGGCATCAAGTTCAAATGAAGTTGAAGATCATGGATTGGAACAGTGCAGTAGTCGAAGCCCAGCAGCACACCAACTAAACAAATGAAGCAGCTCTAAACGTTCTCAGGACTCTCGATTTGTAGCAGGTAAGGGTTCCAAACAGGTGACAAAAACTAAAGTAAAGGCCTGACTAGATAGATGATTAGGATCCTTAAAGCATTGATAGAGAACGTGTTGTGGCTGTTCATTATAATGAAATATAGGGCAGAATTAGCTCTCTTGCAGATCTAATTAATATGTTCTTGAGGGTTTAAATTCAGAGAAAGCATGACGCCAAGGTCCTTGATCATGAGAGAACAAGAGAGGGGTTGACCATCTAATAAGTATGGGAAGATTATGGGTGTACAAGACCCGGAAAAGGGCATCACAGAGCATATCGAAATATTCAAGGTCATGTCATTATCGTTGCACCACTTCATCAATAAGTCAATACTGTTCTGTAGGGTTTGGCAATCATTCTGGGTTTTCATTGTTTTGAAGAATTTTGCATCATCAGCAAAGAGCAGAGCTTTTGACCCCTGAGTATGTTGTACCAGGTCAATAATAAATATTGAAAATAGAACTGGTCCCAAAAGTGATTCCTGAGGCACTCCGGAGACAGCGGAGAAAGGTTGAGACAGACAGCCAACAACCCGTACCTGAAGAAAACTTCTCAACCACATCAAGAGGCATCCGCTAAGTCCGATAGCTTCAAGTTTAGCCACCAGATGTTTGACTTACACGATCAAAAGCCTTTGAGAAGTCAGGTTGTATGGCGTCCACCTCATAAGAATCTGTGAAGGCAGTGAGAAAGTGATCCTGGAAGGCAAGTAGGTTGGAAGTAGTCGAACGTCCCTTAATAAATAAATGTTGTTCAGTACACATTATACTCTTCAGATGGAATGTCAATCTCTTCAGAACCAGGGTCTTGATCTTGGCAATTGTTGACTGTATAACTACCGGGCGATAATTCTTTACACCAGCGGGGAACCAGTCTTGAAGATAGGCATTATATAACCCAACTTGAGATTGGAGGGGTAGATGCAGGTAGCCAAGAGCAGGTTGAAGAATACAGTAAGGTGATGAGCTAAAACGCTACTGCAGAATATCAGAACCAATAGAGAAATGTCACCAGGGCCAGCTCCCTTACTCAATATCAAGTGAGTTTAACTCATCTTCAACCTCTACACAGACTTGAGGACTCGTACATAGCAAGAGGAGATTAAGGTACATGCCTTGAGGTCATATTATGGTGGAGATGAAGTCGGAGACTTGTATACGGAGGAAAAGAACTTGGAAAACAGGTTAGAGATGTTTTTTTTTTAAATTTAACTGTACAATGGCCAGTTAAATGTTTATGATTCCGATCTTAAATATAAATGCCATCAGTATAAAAGAAAATAACAAAATATAAAAAATATTGAAAATTCAGTTTAATTGGTACTAAATAATTAAACCTCTACAAAATTAAGCTAAAAAATACACGCAAGTTCTCAAACACGGAAAACAAATTTAATCGTAATGTCGTAATAAACCAAAACCATTAATTAATACAGTCATCAACCATCGTAACTTTCGTAACTAATTCATAGATTTAAAATTAAATGTTCGTCGTTGAACCGTCCAACTTACGTGTACAAATATGACAGGCTAAGT